ATCATCACACTCACAATCATCACACCCACAATCACAATCACACACCCACAATCACAATCATCACACTCACAATCACACTCATCACACTCATCACACTCAATAAAAATCATCACACCCACAATCACAATCATCACACCCACAATAACAATCATCACACTTACAATCATCACACTCACAATCATCACACCCACAATCACAATCACACACCCACAATCACAATCATCACACTCACAATCACAATCATCACACTCAATCCAATCATCACACTCACAATCATCACACTCACAATCATCACACCCACAATCACAATCATCACACCCACAATCATCACACTCACAATCACAATCATCACACCCACAATCACAATCATCACACCCACAATCACAATCATCACACCCACAATCACAATCATCACACTCAATACAATCATCACACTCACAATCATCATACTCACAATCATCACACTCATAATCACAATCATCACACTCACAATCACAATCATCACACCCACAATCACAATCATCACACCCACAATCACAATCATCACACTCAATCCAATCATCACACTCACAATCATCACACTTACAATCATCACACTCAATCAAAATCATCACACCCACAATCACAATCATCACACCCACAATAACAATCATCACACTCACAATCATCACACTCACAATCATCACACCCACAATCACAATCACACACCCACAATCACAATCATCACACTCACAATCACAATCATCACACCCACAATCACAATCATCACACCCACAATAACAATCATCACAATCACAATCATCACACCCACAATCACAATCATCACACCCACAAATCACAATCATCACACTCAATCCAATCATCACACTCACAATCATCACACTCAATCACAATCATCACACCCACAATCACAATCATCACACTCAATCCAATCATCACACTCACAATCATCACACTCACAATCATCACACTCACAATCATCACACCCACAATCACAATCATCACACCCACAATCACAATCATCACACTCACAATCACAATCATCACACCCACAATCACAATCATCACACCCACAATCACAATCATCACACTCAATACAATCATCACACTCACAATCATCACACTCATAATCACAATCATCACACTCACAATCACAATCATAATCATCACAATCATCACACCCACAAATCACAATCATCACACCCACAATCACAATCATCACACTCAATCCAATCATCACACTCACAATCATCACACTCAATCACAATCATCACACCCACAATCACAATCATCACACCCACAATCACAATCATCACACTCACAATCACAATCATCACACCCACAATCACAATCATCACACTCAATCCAATCATCACACTCAATCCAATCATCACACTCACAATCATCACACCCACAATCACAATCATCACACTCACAATCACAATCATCACACCCACAATCACAATCATCACACTCACAATCATCACACAATTATAATCACAATCATCACACAATTATAATCACAATCATCACACCCACAATCACAATCATCACACCCACAATCACAATCATCACACTCAATCCAATCATCACACTCACAATCATCACACTCAATCAAAATCATCACACCCACAATCACAATCATCACACCCACAATAACAATCATCACACCCACAATCATCACACTCACAATCATCACACCCACAATCACAATCACACACCCACAATCACAATCATCACACTCACAATCATCACACTCACAATCACAATCATCACACTCACAATAACAATCATCACAATCACAATCATCACACCCACAATCACAATCATCACAATCATCACACCCACAAATCACAATCATCACACCCACAATCACAATCATCACACTCCATCCAATCATCACACTCACAATCATCACACCCACAATCACAATCATCACACTCACAATCACCCACAATCACAATCATCACACTCACAATCACAATCATCACACCCACAATCACAATCATCACACTCAATCCAATCATCACACTCACAATCATCACACTCACAATCATCACACTCACAATCATCACACTCACAATCATCACACTCACAATCATCACACTCACAATCATCACACTCACAATCATCACACTCACAATCATCACACTCACAATCATCACACTCACAATCATCACACTCACAATCATCACACTCACAATCATCACACTCACAATCACAATCATCACACCCACAATCACAATCATCACACCCACAATCACAATCATCGCACTCAATCCAATCATCACACTCACAATCATCACACTCACAATCATCACACTCATAATCACAATTATCACACTCACAATCACAATCATCACACCCACAATCACAATCATCACACCCACAATCATCACACTCAATCCAATCATCACACCCACAATCACAATCATCACACCCACAATAACAATCATCACACTCACAATCATCACACTCACAATCATCACACCCACAATCACAATCACACACCCACAATCACAATCATCACACTCACAATCACACTCATCACACTCATCACACTCAATCAAAATCATCACACCCACAATCACAATCATCACACCCACAATAACAATCATCACACTTACAATCATCACACTCACAATCATCACACCCACAATCACAATCACACACCCACAATCACAATCATCACACTCACAATCATCACACTCAATCCAATCATCACACTCACAATCATCACACTCACAATCATCACACCCACAATCACAATCATCACACCCACAATCATCACACTCACAATCACAATCATCACACCCACAATCACAATCATCACACCCACAATCACAATCATCAGACTCAATACAATCATCACACTCACAATCATCATACTCACAATCATCACACTCATAATCACAATCATCACACTCACAATCACAATCATCACACCCACAATCACAATCATCACACCCACAATCACAATCATCACACTCAATCCAATCATCACACTCACAATCATCACACTTACAATCATCACACTCAATCAAAATCATCACACCCACAATCACAATCATCACACCCACAATAACAATCATCACACTCACAATCATCACACTCACAATCATCACACCCACAATCACAATCACACACCCACAATCACAATCATCACACTCACAATCACAATCATCACACCCACAATCACAATCATCACACCCACAATAACAATCATCACAATCACAATCATCACACCCACAATCACAATCATCACAATCATCACACCCACAAATCACAATCATCACACCCACAATCACAATCATCACACTCAATCCAATCATCACACTCACAATCATCACACTCAATCACAATCATCACACCCACAATCACAATCATCACACTCAATCCAATCATCACACTCACAATCATCACACTCACAATCATCACACTCACAATCATCACACTCACAATCATCACACCCACAATCACAATCATCACACCCACAATCACAATCATCACACTCACAATCACAATCATCACACCCACAATCACAATCATCACACCCACAATCACAATCATCACACTCAATACAATCATCACACTCACAATCATCACACTCATAATCACAATCATCACACTCACAATCACAATCATAATCATCACAATCATCACACCCACAAATCACAATCATCACACCCACAATCACAATCATCACACTCAATCCAATCATCACACTCACAATCATCACACTCAATCACAATCATCACACCCACAATCACAATCATCACACCCACAATCACAATCATCACACTCACAATCACAATCATCACACCCACAATCACAATCATCACACCCACAATCACAATCATCACACTCAATCCAATCATCACACTCACAATCACAATCATCACACTCACAATCATCACACTCACAATCACAATCATCACACTCACAATCACAATCATCACACTCACAATCACAATCATCACACCCAAAATCACAATCATCACACCCACAATCACAATCATCACACTCAATCCAATCATCACACTCACAATCATCACACTCACAATCATCACACTCACAATCATCACACTCACAATCATCACACCCACAATCACAATCATCACACCCACAATCACAATCATCACACTCACAATCACAATCATCACACCCACAATCACAATCATCACACCCACAATCACAATCATCACACTCAATCCAATCATCACACTCACAATCATCACACTCACAATCATCACACCCACAATCACAATCATCACACCCACAATCACAATCATCACACTCAATCCAATCATCACACTCACAATCATCACACTCACAATCATCACACTCACAATCATCACACTCACAATCATCACACTCACACTCACAATCATCACACTCACAATCACAATTATCACACTCACAATCACAATCATCACACCCACAATCACAATCATCACACCCACAATCACAATCATCACACTCAATCCAATCATCACACCCACAATCACAATCATCACACCCACAATAACAATCATCACACTCACAATCATCACACTCACAATCATTACACCCACAATCACAATCATCACACTCACAATCACACTCATCACACTCACAATCACAATCATCACAATCACAATCATCACACCCACAGTCACAATCATCACACCCACAATCACAATCATCACACTCAATCCAATCATCACACTCACAATCATCACACTCAATCACAATCATCACACCCACAATCACAATCATCACACCCACAATCACAATCATCACACTCACAATCATCACACTCACAATCATCACACTCAATCACAATCATCACACCCACAATCACAATCATCACACCCACAATAACAATCATCACACTCACAATCATCACACCCACAATCACAATCATCACACTCACACTCATGTTCACACTCATGTTCACACTCATGTTCACACTCACACCTCTTCGTTAGTGAGGATTATAGAGAGACTCGTTTGATCACCTGCAGGTACTCTGTGAAGAAGGAGCCCAACTCAGTCTTCAGGAGCTGCCTAGACACAGACCAAACCCAGCACGTTATTGTCCCCGTGTGTGTGTGAGTGTAGTGAAGGCCACTGTCTATCTATTTCACACAGTCATGCCAATAAAGCTCATTTGAATTGAAGGTCTCTCACCTGACGCCTTCATTCAGTACGTAGAGCTCGTTCTCTCCCAGATCCCTCCGCTGGAACACGGAGATCACGGCATTATGGATGCTGTCACACACACACACACACACACACACACGTTAAATGTGTCCATGATGTTTCAGGCTGGATTAACATGTAAACCTCAATGCACATTAAATGTTTGATGAATTGATGAAAATGGATTGATGAAGCTGCTCACTGAAGGCCCCAAAACACGTGACGTCATTTCAAACAAAATCAGGCCAAAAAGTTCATTTAGAGTTCTGAACTGCCATTGGTCCATTTCGATGATGTACATTTTTCAATGATTCTCAAAGACTCAGCGGATGAATCAGTCTCTCTAAATCCCTCCTTTCCGTGAGCTACTCTGCTCTGATTGGCCAGACAGCTCAGTCTGTTGTGATTGGTCTACTCTGCTCTGATTGGCCAGACAGCTCAGTCTGTTGTGATTGGTCTACTCTGCTCTGATTGGCTAGACAGCTCAGTCTGTTGTGATTGGTCTACTCTGCTCTGATTGGCTAGACAGCTCAGTCTGTTGTGATTGGTCTACTCTGCTCTGATTGGCTAGACAGCTCAGTCTGTTGTGATTGGTCTACTGTTCTGATTAGCCTACTCTGCTCTGATTGGCCAGACAGCTCAGTCTGTTGTGATTGGTCTACTCTGCTCTGATTGGACAAAAGTCAAAATTATACTATTGTGAAAAGGTTTTCATAAGCTGTAAGCCATAATCATCAAAATTATAACAAATAGAGGCTTTAAATATCTCACATATAAACACACACACACACACACAGCATCAGTGATATCAAACAATCATTGTTCTCCAGCCACTAGTGTGTGTACGAACAGAAACAGAGGATTCTCTTCACACACAAACTATAAGGCCTGATTTGTGTTCTTTGTGTTCTGGACTGCATCCCTCAGGCTCACTCACACACACACACACACACACACACACACACACACACACACACACACACACAACAAACAGAGGAAACTGGTTTTGTAGGAATTTCTCCTCAAAAGATGAGAACAAATGAGCTTTTATACAGTGTGTGTGTGTGTGTGTGTGTGTGTGTGTGTGTGTGTGTGAGACAACGACATGAAGCTGTTTGTCAGCACACTCTCACACACACACACAAATTAGCAAAACCTATTTTTGTGGACATTGTCATTTCTAAAAATAATATATATATCAAGTAAATGTATTTAGTCCTTCATTTATACCTTAATTTTTTTAAACTGAACTTTTAAACCAGTTTAGAGCTCTGGTTTAGATTAGTCAACAGAATTTATAACTAGCTGACTATGTAAAATCAACGACTGCAGTACGCTTACATTTACACAGCCAAGAAAATGTGTTGTGTGTGTGTGTGTGTGTACCTGATCCAGGTGGTGTTGTTTCCCGCTCGCTGCTGCTGGTTGTTCCTGTCATCCAGCGCTGATCTCTCTGAACGACCCAAATCACTCAGACTGGGAGAACTCATCAACTTCAGCCTGTGAAGAGTCCTCATCATCACACACACACACACACACACAAACACACACACACACACACACACACACACAGCAGTTAGAGTGATACAGGAGTGAAAGTGCGTGTGTGTTGCCTATCTCACTTCTATTGTCTGTCTGTGTCTCTGTCAGTGGTTAGAGGGAGGGACTCAGTGAGACAACGTGCACGAATCAACCACTTCCCTACTGACACACACACACACACACGCGCACATGCAGTACAAACCTACACACATTATTGTACAACTTCAACTTCAATAAAAAGTTTAGGTTTACTGTAAAGCAAAAGTACTGAACTAAATTTATATTTATATTAAATTTATGCACTTTCAAAATAAGCCACATGCCTAATCAAGTTATGTTGCAAATTTAAAGTTGATGAGAAATTGAAGTTCCTGTTTTGCTTAAGCGCTTTACCAAAAACAGCCACTGGGTGACACACACACACACTGATGCGTCTCCTGTCACAAATTAATAAATTTCTGTCACAATTTCAGTTCACTTCTATCACGGATCAGCAGCCAAATATGGAACCGTGAGTCTCAGACATTTCCGACGATATGAGTGTCAAGATTAGAAAAATATTTGATTATAAAATAGTGCAGGAAAATACCATGTTTCCAATTTTAAAACAGATTCACAGTGTTTAAGCTTTCGAATGATACCTAATTTATGATTACTAAAATATGTGCTTGGAATACATCAATAAGAAATGTGCAGTTAACAGGTTAAGAAAACATTATTTACTTTATTTCATATTGGGTTTTTTTAATAAGGACGTCTCCAAAAAGAGGTTTAAATTCACTGTTAACTGTCCTGATGAACACACACCTGACTGAAGCGCTCTGATGAACACACACCTGACTGAAGCGCTCTGATGAACACACACCTGACTGAAGCGCTCTGATGAACACACACCTGACTGAAGCACTCTGATGAACACACACCTGACTGAAGCACTCTGATGAACACACACCTGACTGAAGCGCTCTGATGAACACACACCTGACTGAAGCGCTCTGATGAACACACACCTGACTGAAGCGCTCTGATGAACACACACCTGACTGAAGCGCTCTGATGAACACACACCTGACTGAAGCGCTCTGATGAACACACACCTGACTGAAGCGCTCTGATGAACACACACCTGACTGAAGCGCTCTGATGAAGCGTCACACTGACACACACACGGTCACACTGACACACACACGGTCACACTGACACACACACGGTCACACTGACACACACACGGTCACACTGACACACACACGGTCACACTGACACACACACGGTCACACGGTCACACTGACACACACACGGTCACACTGACACACACACGGTCACACTGACACACACACGTTCACATTGACACACACACCTGACTGAAGCGTCACACTGACACACACACGGTCACACTGACACACACACGGTCACACACACACGGTCACATTGACACACACACCTGACTGAAGCGTCACACTGACACACACACGGTCACACTGACACACACACCTGACTGAAGCGTCACACTGACACACACACGGTCACACTGACACACACACCTGACTAAAGCGTCACACTGACACACACACGGTCACACTGACACACACCTGACTAAAGCGTCACACTGACACACACACGGTCACACTGACACACACACCTGACTGAAGCGTCACACTGACACACACACGGTCACACTGACACACACACGGTCACACTGACACACACACCTGACTGAAGCGTCACACTGACACACACACGGTCACACTGACACACACACGGTCACACTGACACACACACGGTCACACTGACACACACACCTGACTGAAGCGTCACACTGACACACTGACACACACACGGTCACACACACACGGTCACACTGACACACACACGGTCACACTGACACACACACCTGACTAAAGCGTCACACTGACACACACACGGTCACACTGACACACACCTGACTGAAGCGTCACACTGACACACACACGGTCACACTCACACACACACGGTCACACTGACACACACACCTGACTGAAGCGTCACACTGACACACACACGGTCACACTCACACACACACGGTCACACTGACACACACACCTGACTGAAGCGTCACACTGACACACTGACACACACACGGTCACACTGACACACACACGGTCACACTGACACACACACGGTCACACTGACACACACACCTGACTGAAGCGTCACACTGACACACACACACGGTCACACTAACACACACACGGTCACATTGACACACACACCTGACTGAAGCGTCACACTGACACACACACGGTCACACTGACACACACACGGTCACACTGACACACACACCTGACTAAAGCGTCACACTGACACACACACCTGACTGAAGCGTCACACTGACACACACACGGTCACACTGACACACACACACGGTCACACTGACACACACACCTGACTGAAGCGTCACACTGACACACACACGGTCACACTGACACACACACCTGACTGAAGCGTCACACTGACACACACACGGTCACACTGACACACACACCTGACTGAAGCGTCACACTGACACACACACGGTCACACTGACACACACACGGTCACACTGACACACACACCTGACTGAAGCGTCACACTGACACACACACGGTCACACTGACACACACACCTGACTGAAGCGTCACACTGACACACACACGGTCACACTGACACACACACCTGACTGAAGCGTCACACTGACACACACACGGTCACACTGACACACACACGGTCACACTGACACACACACCTGACTGAAGCGTCACACTGACACACACACGGTCACACTGACACACACACCTGACTGAAGCGTCACACTGACACACACACGGTCACACTGACACACACACGGTCACACTGACACACACACCTGACTAAAGCGTCACACTGACACACACACCTGACTGAAGCGTCACACTGACACACACACGGTCACACTGACACACACACACGGTCACACTGACACACACACCTGACTGAAGCGTCACACTGACACACACACGGTCACACTGACACACACACCTGACTGAAGCGTCACACTGACACACACACGGTCACACTGACACACACACCTGACTGAAGCGTCACACTGACACACACACGGTCACACTGACACACACACGGTCACACTGACACACACACCTGACTGAAGCGTCACACTGACACACACACGGTCACACTGACACACACACCTGACTGAAGCGTCACACTGACACACTGACACACACACCTGACTGAAGCGTCACACTGACACACACACGGTCACACTGACACACACACTGACACACTGACACACACACCTGACTGAAGCATCACACTGACACACACACTGACACCCTGACACACACACGGTCACACTGACACACACACGGTCACACTGACACACACACGGTCACACTGACACACACACGGTCACACTGACACACACACCTGACTGAAGCGTCACACTGACACACACACGGTCACACTGACACACACACGGTCACACTGACACACACACCTGACTGAAGCGTCACACTGACAAACTGACACACACACCTGACTGAAGCGTCACACTGACAAACTGACACACACACCTGACTGAAGCGTCACACTGACAAACTGACACACACACCTGACTGAAGCGTCACACTGACACACACACGGTCACACTGACACACACCTGACTGAAGCGTCACACTGACAAACTGACACACACACGGTCACACTGACACACACACCTGACTGAAGCGTCACACTGACACACACACGGTCACACTGACACACACCTGACTGAAGCGTCACACTGACAAACTGACACACACACGGTCACACTGACACACACACCTGACTGAAGCGTCACACTGACACACTGACACACACACCTGACTGAAGCGTCACACTGACACACACACGGTCACACTGACACACACACTGACACACTGACACACACACCTGACTGAAGCATCACACTGACACACACACGGTCACACTGACACACACACACTGACACACAACAGATCAATCAGCTTCAGAAATTGATTACACTGATTTGATTTTATCCCGTGAGAAAGAGGAAGAGTGTCATGATACGACACACATGAAACATGGAGATGATTGAGAAATATCATACACACAAACATTAGAGCACACACACACACACACACACACACACACACACAGTCTGTACTCACTCCAGTAAGTGCACAGGCACATAATAGTCCCACTCCATAGTTGAGCTTCACTGCAACTCATGAGCGGCTCAAACTCTCTGACTCTCGTCAGCGGCTGATCATGGAAGTGAAAGAGAGAGAGGAACACACACACTCTCTCACACACACACTCTCACACACACGCATGCTCGCTCACTCACTCACTCACACACACACACACACACACACACACACACACACACACACACACACACACACACACACACACACACACACACACACACACACACACACACACACACACACACACACACACACACACACAACTTCCTGTACACTCTTCTGTGAGTAAGTAAGTGAGTGAGTGTGTTTGTGTGTGTGTGAGTGAGAGAGAGTACGAGTGTGTAAGAGAGAGAGTAAAAGTGTGAGTGAGTGTGTGTCTCGGACACAATGAGGAAGAGCTGAAGTGATAGCGGGGAGAAACACTAATAACATGGAGAACTGAAACAGGAACATCGACTGACAGGGAAACACAGGGCTAATCAAGCTAAGGAGCTTCAGGAGCTAACGAGCTTCAGGAGCTAACGAGCTTCAGGAGCTAACGAGCTTCAGGAGCTTCAGGAGCTAACGAGCTTCAGGAGCTTCAGGGGCTTCAGGAGCTAACGAGCTTCAGGAGCTAACGAGCTTCAGGAGCTTCAGGAGCTAACGAGCTTCAGGAGCTTCAGGGGCTTCAGGAGCTAACGAGAGTTCATACACTGGGGAAAACTACAAACTGACTACACAAAGGCACATGGGGCAGAAAACTGG